AAAAAATAAGGTAATATAAATTTATTTTTTATGAGATAGGGTCTAATTATGTAAATCAGGTTGGTCTTGGAGTCACAGTATAGCCTAGGCTGGTCTCCAATGATCCTCCTGTCTTAGCCTCCTGAACATTGGGATTAAGGTGAGTATTTGGCTATAAATCAAGATCACTTTGTAACCTAGTCTGGTCTTGAATCATAATGATCCTTTTGCCCTGGCCTTCTGAGTGCTGGGATTATAAGCATACACCACCATGCCTGGCTATAAACCTAACCCTAAACAACAGATTATGAAAAAAGATTTCATATATATAATATCACACAATGTCACAGCAATACTCACCATTCATTAGATTGTAGTGTAGGGGATTCATTTTGGGCTATGTGATATAAGGCACTCATTGCATTCATATTAAATAAAGGAGGCTTCCTTTCCGCTGTAAAAAAAGAAAATTGCTATTAAAACATGTGCATGTTATATAGAAGTACTCAAATACTTACAAACATGAAATTGTTTCTGTTTTCCCATTATCTCTCTCTCTCTTTTTTTTTTTTTTTGGCGGCTCCACACTGACCTCCAGCAGCGCTGGTCTGGGTTGCCTTGAGTATCTGGGAATGGAACTAGCGCTCCCAGAGACTGACTGCCTCCTTTAAGCAGGCACTTAAAAAACTGAGCTAATGGGCGGCCCCCCCCCATTATCTCTTAATTTCTCTAATTTTGTAATCATAATCACTTCTCATGCCTGATGTTGGAAATTTATATTTTCTTTGGCAAAAGGTTTACCAATTTTACTATCTTTAGATTTTCTTTCATTCAATTGATTTTTGTTTCAATCTTTATAATAATCCTCTTTCTTCTGGACACCTTGGATTTAATTTACTCCCTTTTTTAATTTCTTTTTTTCTTTGGGTTTTTTTTTTTTTTCCCTGACAGGGTTTCTCCATGTAGCCCAGAGTGGCTTTGTCACTGCCTCATCTTCTTGCCTTAGCCTCCCAGTGCTGAAATTACAGGCATGTGCCATCTTGTCTAGCTGTCTTCTTTAAGTTTCTCAAGGAGAAAGCTGAAATCATGATTTGATGATTGTGAAGTAATCAGGACTCTTGAATGTCCCTCAGCTTAGGTTTGTAGGATATTTCCCATCAGATTTCAGGTATCTTATACCACTTTGGCAGAATATCACAGAGTGATATAATGATACTACGTACTGTTAATTATATCTTATGAGGTGGCATCTGATTTTGAGTGGGCACTTTGCTTACTTCATTAAGATGGCATCTGCCAGTTTTCTCCATGGTAATTTCTCTTTTATTCTTTTGAACTTAATAGGCATTTTGTGAGAAGGTATTTTGAACCTATAAAAATATCCCTTTTTGTATAAAACTTTAAATAATTACTGGGTTAATATTTCTATTTTGATAAGTTCTAATCTATCATTTACTATGATATTGAAATTGTCATATTTGAGCAGGGGAACATTTTTGAAGTTGGATTCTGTGTCTTTTGGACATAGTTTTATCATTCATTGTTTCCTTATATTCTGGGCCATAAAAGTGTTCCAGAATCAACTTGTATTTTCCTATCCCAGTAACTCGATCAACTAATTTCTACAAGGATCCATAATACGATCCATAGTACGAGGTGTGCTCACTGTTACTGGGATATCAGTGCTCTCAGGGCCTCTCACTGGACAGAGTTAGAAAACATGTACCATATATATAATACATACATAATTTGTCTACACAGATGCAAATAAGCCATAAATATTTATTTTTGTATCTATTGAAAACAAGTTCACTATATTTTGAATTTCAATTCAAAACATAGTGATTATTCTAGCTTTCTCTGTCTTTATAAAGCTCTTCTCTGACTATGAGCAAACTTTGTAATCCTTAATATATTTTATTTAATAAAACTCTTCCCCACCAAGTTCCCATTTTTACTACCTTCTCTTATGAGCAGATGTCGTCCTTTTCAAATTCTGAATCCCTATTCCACTGCACTATATAGTGTGAATGTGAATGCCTTCTTCACCTACTCAGTTTCTGACACTCCACTCATACCAGGTCTATAGCCAACGCATACACATCTTTTTTAATGTATCAATTATTTAATTAGGTTCTTAGTAAGAAATTTAGAACACTAATTTATGAAGATAAATTCCATTTGTCAGAGCAAAAACGGAATGCAAGTAGCCCCAGAGCTGAGGAACAGCTTTGATTTTTGCTAAAATCTGTGAGTCCGCTGCGTTCTGATCCATCCTGCACTGCTCTGAAATCTGGTATCTTTCTTGGTGTCGAAGATGCAGCTTTTTCTTCTTGAAGTAAGCATCATTGAGGTGTTCGGGGATTTTCACTTTGCTGATGTCAATTTTTGTAGAGGTGGCAATGACAAATTTCTGGTGTGTTCTTCATAGAGGAACATTATTAAGGCTCAGAGGCCCAGTCACAAGTAGCAAGCCACTGTCCAACTGCTTCAGGAAGACCACTCTCTCACCTGTGACACCCAGTGAGAATGACCAAGATGGTACCGGGAGTCATGCTAGCTCAAAGTTTCCTCACATGGCTGACTGAAGGGTTTCTTGCCGTGGCTCAAGAGCTTTCGGGGCACATCTTCAGTAAGGTAGTACCTAGGCATTTTTTGAAGCTTAACCACCTGGCTACCTCCATTCTTGTCCCCACCGACCAGCTTTGTGATCGTAGCAAGAACTTTCTCCTTTTTCTTCTCAATCTTTGATTTAGCAGCTGTGTACTTTCTCTTGTACAAAGTCTTTCTGGAATACATAGCAGATAGGAAGTATCTATCAATTCCTCTAACCAGGACAGAATTTCAGCTGCAGTGGGGGTGCCCCTTTTTGGAGTTTTTGCCTTCTTCATTTTACCCTTTTTACCAGTACCACTGGTAGAAGCCTTCTGGGCTTTAGGTTTCTTCTCTTTAGTGTCTGGCTTCTCAGTTTTTTCACACGCCATCTTGCAAGATGGGAAAGAGTACATACACATCTTATAAGTGAAACTTTTCATTTTTATTAGACATTACCACTGTGTTAGGATGCCCCTTACATAATCTGCTTCTTTAGATTGTAGCTTTATATAACTGGATGCACCCTCCACGTGGTCAATTCCTCACCCTTTGATAATTCATGGTGAACTACTTCTATGTGTCACTCTACTAGGCCTCAAAGTCTCCACATCTGACAGTCACCTGCATAGATATATTTATTGGTTTCAGACTCCACACACCAGCTATGAGAACTCTTTACTATACTGATTTGATTCTGTTAGCTATTCTGAGTTAACATGGCTTATCATCTGTCATGGATACTGTGATGGTTAACCTTCATTGTTAACTTGATTAAATCAAGAAATACCTAGTAGTAAAGCATACTTCTGAGTGTGTCTATGAAGGTATATCTAGAGGGACTGGCATCGTGAGACAGCAAACTGCAAAGTAACTTGCCCTGAATGTGGACAGCACTGTCTTATAAGCTGGGACCCAGGCAGAACTAAAAAAAAAAGCAGAAGGCCTGACAGTACATGTTTGCGGTCATATTTTCTGTCCTTCCTAACCACCATGAGGTAAACAGCTTAGCTCTACCATCCATTTCTACCACAATGTATTACTTTCTTTTTTTTTGTGGAAGTGGGGATTGAACTCAGGCCCTTGTGCTTGCCAGGGAAGTACTTGTTCCACTGAGCCATCTCCCCAGCCCCTCTGTACTACTTTCTCATCACAGACCCAAAAACAATGGCTCCAGCCACCTATATACTGAAATCTCTGTAACTATAAGTGAAAAATAAACCATTGCAGGCTGGGAAGACAGTACAGCAATCTAAGTGCCTGCCTAGGCAAGTGCAAGGACCTGGGTTCGATCCCTGGTACCACATGCCACCCCTGGTATGCCAAGCTGGCCACAATGGGCATGGTGGTGCACACCTGTAATCCCAGAGCTGGGGAAAATGAAACAGGACAATCACTACAAGTCTGAGCTGAGTAGTGATACCTTGAAACAAATACATAAAATTAAAAAAAAAAAACCTTTCCTCCTTTATTATCACAGTTATTTTATCCCAATGACAGAAAGCTATATAATGCTGATACCTCCCTCCTCTGTCCTGCTAGTAGTTTTAAAATTGAATAGTGTAGGGAAGAGGAAAGGATTACTGAAGAAATTCTGAATGAACAAATAAAAGAAATTATCTGTTTCTAAGATATTATGATCTTTAAAAATGTGGCAGATTCAACTGAATTTTTTTTTTTTTTAAAGGTACCAGGGATTGAACTCAGGACCTTTGCAGGCACTTATGCTACTGAGCTATATCCCTAGCCCCTCAACTGAAGTTTTCTATCTCAAAATCTTTAAACTACTAAGAAACAAATTTCATTTAAATTAAATTTATTTTACAAAAAGTAATAGAAGGGCCAGCCAGATAGCTCAGCAGACTACAGGGATCTGATCCCCAATGTGCAGTTCCGGCCTGCCCCCGGAGCGTACTGAGACAGCAACTAACACCGGGCATGGTAGCATGCGCCTGTAATCCCTGCATTTGGGAGGCTAAAAACAGGATCACTGAGGCTGAGTCTGCTCTGTGTAGTAAGACCCTGTAGACCTTGTACTAATACATTAAAAAAAAAAAAAAAAAAGTAACAGAGATCTTATTCTTTATTACCTTGTGTACATTATTTGTGAAATGTTTCTGTCTGGGGCTTGTGAGATGGCTCAGTGGTCTAAAGCACCTACTTAGAACAAGCTTAGCAAAGCACAGGGACCACGGTTCAATCCCCCAGCACCACATG